GTTGGTGGTACAATTGATTTTTTCTGTGGAGACAAGCCAGCATCTTAGATGTGAACGTGGAGTGTGGAGTCTGATCCAGCCTGGAGTGGCATGTGCAATAATTGACTACTTATTAATGAGTCCTCCAACTTGGTCACACCAAAGGCTGTGCTATGGCTCTAGACCTGGAAAGTGCTCTGTAGCTAACTAACACAATACAGAGATCTGGACAGCACCACAAAGAGAGTCCAGTGCTTGAAAATCATATTACAGGCAGGCCCCACAGTGGGGTCTGGGTACAGCCTCTAAAGCTATTACTGATGATAGAAGACCAGCTTAACTATTGTCAGATGAAGTCTCGATTTAAGGAAAAAAATTCTTGAACAAAGAATAAAATGGCTGGTAAAAAAGGTTAAACTTTTCTTAGTAGGGAAAAGAAGACCATTGACCTAGGAAACTAGTAAACAATTGAGGCATGCTGGGAGTGTGAGGGGTTATACCAGACTGATCACTGATGGTTTTTTGCTTGACAATGTCAAAATCCTCCAGTAGGTGGCAGTATAGCACAAATGCCTCTGAATCCTAGGTCTTTCAATGAATGAGAGAAGAGAGATATACAAATAACTAAATTAAATATATACTGTATTTGCTATGGATTTCTGTATGGTTATTTCTGTATCCCACAAACACATTCTAAATGAAAAGTTAAAAATATACATTCTGCAGTATTGTTTCATTGAAATATAGAAGATTATTACTCTGACAGTCTCTTTCCCCACAGCAGCAATGGACATGATATCTTTGCAACCAGTGCTGTTGTCCTAGGGTCAGAGAAACAGAGTGGCCAACAACTAGACAGGGGGGGGGGGGGCAATATAGAGGTTAAAGTGATTTATGCATGAAGGTAAAAAACCTTCTGTGTGCAGCAGCCCCCAAGCCCACTCAATACTTACCTGAGCCCCATTGCAATCCATTGATGTGCACAACAGCCTCGGCTGTCCGGGGTCTCTGCCTCCTCATTGGCTGAGACAGCAAGCCGAAACCATTGGCTCCTGCTGCTGTCAATCATAGCCAGTAAGCCAATGAGGAGAGAGAGGGGGCGAGGGTAAGCCATGGCTCCCTGTGTGAATGGAAACAGAGCAGTGGCTTGGGAACACACCTGCTCAGGTGCCCCCATAGCAAACTGCTTGCAATGGGGGCACCCGACAGAAAGAAGGAGCTAGGAGCGCTGACAGAGGGTCCGAGAAGAGGAGGGTCCAGGCTCCTCTGTGTAAATCCACTACACTGTAAGTATAGACATGTTTGTTATTTTAAAAAAAAAAAAAAAGAACCTTTAGTATTGCTTTAAGATTGTTTAGATGACTGAGGACCCTCCTTTGCTCTGTTGGTCATGTGGGCCTCGGTCAGTTATGAAAGTCCATTTGCTAATTTTTGGTGATGTCACAGGAAAGGATACTATTGGTGCTAGTGATATCACTGAGAATAAAGATGAAATATATGGTGACTGATAGTTTTCAAACAAAAGAAAGTACTTTTTTTTAAATAATAATGTTTATGAAAACCCAGGTCTTCTTTTACCATGCTCACATGCTCAATATGATCAAACCACACTGGTTATGACCACTTCTATTGAACTATTACCACTTAATACTTATGGACCAAAATGCAAGACACATAATTCTGTATTGAGGTAAGATAGGGCTATGTTTCTGATGTGCCAGGAAAAGTATGTAATGAACAAATGGATATTTATGTAAGAGAAAGTAAAGAACTTTCATAAAATAGGAAACTGAAACATCTCAGGAGAAACAATGAAACATTCCACAATGGGGAATCTTGGAGAGTACTGCAGATGTAATAAGGCTTTGACCAGTGACAGAGACCTAAATCCTCAAAATGCTAAAATTAGGTGATGTTTATTGAAAATAAATGTCTTAGAAGATAAAAGATATGTGTCAGAAGATATAAGAACAACTTGAGTTAAGTAATTCTAAAATCAAATATACATTATAGCAAGGGAAGGGGGAATATACCCCATACCAGGCGCCAGGTAATATAGGATGATGTAGTCCCAGGGTGAGTGGAGCCTACATAAGTCAAGATGATGATACCAAAATTCAGAAACAAAATCCAAATATTAGAGTAAAAACTGCAAGAGAACCTGTTCATTTGAATTGAACACTGGTAAAAGTGGGGTATGGCTTTAAACAAACTAAAGGCTACTTATTCTGTGGTCCACATGGGAGAAAGATTTTGATCATCTACAAGGCAGTGTAGCTGTGCCAGCTGAAGGCCAAGACCCTCCAATGTCACAAAAAGATCTCCTATGGTGAAGTGGACACGCAGAAAAAGGGAAGGGCTGGGGTTGTTGCTAGGGCCCTCCACCAGCAAGCACAGGGGCCTAACTAATAGAGCAGATAAACTGGGAGAGAGAACAACTGACCAACAAGAATAGAAATGAAGGATGAGGGAAGGGAAAAAGAGGGAAAAAATCAGCCACATCTTCATACGGTCGCATTCTCAGTACCTGCTTTTTTTTTTTCAGCTGAACGGGCTTTTCAATGGAAATACCATGCCGCAACTGCCAATTTTTACTTCCCACCAACTGCAAGTGTAAACTAAGCCTTATAATGTTTTACAGTTTACACAAATCTTATCAAAAAATTTGCTTGGCAGCTAAGAAATTGTGGATGAAAAATAGGAAATAGTTTCTCTTTGTGTTTGCAGGTCTGGCCATCATCACTGTCATAAAGTCACCAAAAATTCCTTTTATCTACACCACTCAGTATACATTGTTTCTGAGTTAAACGCTAGCAAATGAAGTTGCACCCATCTTTGAGGTTCAGAAGGCAGAAAGGGCTGCCATGAAGCATTGTAGATCTTTATTGTTTTTTGTTTCTACTAAACAATTCTATACTATTTCTTTTAAAATTATTGTGGAATACTCCCAAGCTATCTGCTTAGTAATATATTCATATACCAGGCAAATCAGTTGTTTACAAAATTAACATTGGGCTAGATCCTTGAAGTACTTGCAGTTTTTTTTTTGGAAAGATTTTCAACTATATTACCGCACTCCACTATATAAGTATTTCATCACAAGAAAATGACTTCTCTTGACACCGTGGTTTCCATTAATCAGGATAGATTGGTTGTTGAGCTATTCCTGAAGCCTGTGGATAGGATTACCTTGTACTGCGTGCAGTTTTCAGTCTTGTCATCGTAAAATTTCTTTGCAAGATTCACAGGTTGTGGAAGTTTGTAGGATTATAATCAATTTAAATAAATGTGCAATGCAAAATGTTGGAAATGCAATGCAGGATTTTGGAAAACATGTATAGGATTAAACATTTCATTTGGAGAGGTTTTTGCAGAAACTGCTTGTGAAATAAAGTAAATATTCAGTAGGGAATAGTTATTATTTCCTCAGATATTTGTTGGGTAAAAGCAAATTATTCGAAATCTGTATGAGTATATCCTTTCTGTTGATGATGTGAATATAGCAGCTTTTTAAGCATAACAATATATGCCCTTAAATTGGCAAACAATAAATGTGACTTTATGGTAAAAACAGGCATAGATTTGTTCAAAGACTACACCAATATAATCCAGCACCTAACCATTCCAGCCCAGCCTCATCCTCAGCTATGTGAATTGCCCAGATGAATGGAAGTACCAGCAGTTTAAATTGGTTCTAAAGCCTGGGTGTTTTGTACCTTAATGCATTCCCTGCATTAAGATAAAAAACACCCCACCAACTATTTCCCTCCCCCACTCTCTAAATGCTGAGCCTGAACTTAGATTGTCAGGGATCCAGCGCTGTCCTGGCTGCAGGTCTTCTCTCCCCTCCTTTCTCTTCTGTCAAATGTGTCAGTAAAATCCTATAAGGAGGAAGAGGGGGGCAGAGCTGAACCCCACTGTGTGAGTTTTATAGATGCCCCCAGGCCAGCTTTGGAGCGAGCCTGCAGGTGTGCCCCTATAGCAGGCGGCTTGCTATGGGGGCACACAAAAGAGAGGAGGAGCCTTGAGTGTTTGGGGGGACCCCAGAAGAGAAGATTTGGGGCTGCTGTGTGTAAAACCATTGCACAGAGCAGGTAAGTATATAATGTTTGTTATTTTAATAAAAACAATTGTGGCTTTTACAATCACTTTAGCAATGAAGAGAAATGTTGTTATGATTCCCTTTTCTTCTCATTAAGCACTTCCTGAGCACCAGTATAAAATTATTGCAGTTGAGATTTTTGGTGCAACACCACAACAAAGGGACAATATATCTGCAGTAGTGGATCTTTATTGCATGGCTTTTTGAATGCATATGTGCAATTTATATTTGCAGTTATGCATTTGTTGTGTTATATTTGGGTTTGTTCATTTTGCAAAGTGTGGGGGCACATTTAGAATAGATGCAGATACATTAAAAATGCACATGATTGCTTTATACATGTGTGGTTTTATCTGTCACTCAAATCAATACATAGGCTGTAGTGTAGGGTTGCCATCTGTCTGTATTTCCAAGGGACAGTCCACATTTTGAAGGTTCTGTACTTGGAAAACAAACATCCCCCATGGAAGTGATTGCAAGTAGCAATATCGTCTATAAAAAGATATTGCATAAAATATGTGTGGCTTTATGAGATACATTGCTCTACATTCACTACTACATTGCCAAGAACCTTATTGTGCCCTGCCCTGATGTCTTCAAATTCTTTACTCCCCCATGTGATTAAATATTTGAAGAGTTTATACTGTTTATATTTCACTACATCTCTCTAAACTCCTCTTCAGTGCTATATGAACAATATCTGATCCCAGTCCACAATATACTAGTTTAGAAGCCTTTTTGCAGTGAAATTGTATGTATTGTTAGAGTCCTGCGTAAATATACTCGTCATTGTCATTTTTCTCCTTAGTGTTCCAATTGTATTGACTATCTTTTAACGCATCCTGCCCGTCATATAAGGAAATAGCAGATGGGCGGGAGCTCTCTTGTTCTGAGAGGATGTCATATGACGGGAGCACAAAGTGCGGCAATTGGTGGTGCGCTGTATCCCACACAGCGGATCACCAATCACGGTAAAGAGCCGATGATGTAGGCTCTACCATGTGATCAGCTGTGTCCAATCACAGCTGATCACATGTAAACAGGAAATGCTGGTTATTGGCAGTCCTCTCCTCACGCTGACAGCGTGAGGAGTGCAGAGCCGGTAATCTGCATTCCTCAGACATCTATACTGATAATCAGGGCACTGATTATCAGTGCAGCCCCATTCAGTGCCCATCAATGCCACTTATTAGTTCCCATCAGAGCTGCCTTTCAGTGCCTATTAGTGATGTCTATCAATGCCCATTAGTGCCTCCTCATCAGTGCAGTCTATCAGTACCAATCAGTGCTACCTATCAGTGCCAGTCAGTGCTGCCTATCAGTGCCCATCACTGCCAACTATCAGTGCCCATCACTGCTGCCTATCAGTGCCTCCTCATCAGTGCAGTCTATCAGTACCCATCAGTACTACCTATCAGTGCCAATCAGTGCCAGTCAGTACTGCCTATCAGTGTCCATCGGTGCTGCCTGTCAGTGCCATCAGTGCTGCCTTTCAGTGCCCATCAGTGATACCTGTCAATGCCCATCAGTGCTGCCTGCCAGTGCCTCCTCATCAGTGCAGTTTATCAGCACCCATCAGTGCCACCTAGTAGTACCAATCAGTGGCACTTATCAGTACCACCTATCAGTGCCCATCAGTGCCACCTATCAGTGCCAGTCAGTGCCGTCTATCAGTGCCACATATCAGTGCCCATCAATGATGCTTGTCAGTACCCATCAGTGCCATCTATCAGTGCCACCTATTAATGCCCATCAGTGCCACCTATCAGTGCTGCCTACCAGTGCAGCCTCATCAGCACACATCAGTGAAGGAGAAAAAATACTCATTTACAACATTTTTATAACAGAAAAACTTTTTTTTTTCAAAATGTTGTCTTCTTTAGTTTGTTTATCAAATAAAATTAAAACCCCAGTGGTGATTAAATACCACCAAAGGAAAGCTCTATCTAAAAATTTGGTTTGGGCACAGTGTTGCATGACCACGCAATTGTCATTCAAAGTGCGACAGCTGAAAGCTGAAAATTGGCCTGGGCAGGAAGGGGGTGAAAGTGTCCAGTAGCCAAGTGGTTAAGCTCCTATGGCTATGTCACATGACTGTTGGGTGGCCACTGCCACTTTCTAATTCACCTATATCTGGCCAAATGTGTCCCCAGCACAGAATAATAGGTTGCATGGAGTGCATTTACCATTCATTTTTATGGCCATGCTTAAAATGTGTAAAGTATATCTAAAGCTTTTGCTTTGGACAGAGTAATTAAATCCTGTTATTTTTTTACAATTGTGTTTCATTGTGGAAATTTTTTCACACATCCTGTTATAAAGACCTTGGGAAGTGAGAGAAAATACTATGTTAGACAGTTGTCAGCTTCACAGGTGACCTCTCTAAGCCTGTCCTGGTTATATAATTTTAGATTTTCTTTTACTTTTAGTCCCTTGACATTGTTTACCAAGACAAACAGTTAGGGTGAATCTCGACAGCAAGGACATAGACAGTAATAAAAACCTGATGGGTCCTACCACTTCCCTCACTTAGCTTCAAATACACTTTATCAACACATTAATCTGTGGTGCATAGATGCAAACTAGTCAAAGAAATTAATGGAATTGCCGCCTGCAGTGCATTTTTTTTTTTGCTGTAAGATAAAAACATGTGTTATGGGCCATAAAATGTATGTAACTATATATTATGTGACTATGATATGATAGTAATACAATGAAGTTGTGTATTCATATATAGCAGAGCTCACAGGAGCACTTCTACAACATCAAGAATTACAGTATTTTCTGGTGTATAAGACTACTTTTTATACTTAAAAATATACCCCAAAAATTGGTGGTCGTCTTATATGCGGGGTATAAAATGTGAACCTTGAGTTTGTTAGGGTCAAGCTGGCTGGATGTGCGGTAATACTGTACATACAGTATACCGTGCTGAGCCAAGCTGGCTCAAAACAAATGTCCCTGTGACAGATTAATCTGTCAGCCTGCTGGATGTGCGGTATATACAGTATACTGCGCTGAGCCAAGCGGTTTCAAAACTTACCGGTACGTCCCTACTGTAATCAGCCCGCTAGATGTGTGTATGTACGTAGCGGCGGCTACATACAGTATACACTGGGCCAATCACGGCAAGTGATGTATTCTACTAATGAATACAAAGCCTGCTCGGATTGGCTGAGTCAGAGAGGTGGGCTGATGATGTCACAACCTCAGCCAATTCTGAGCAGGCTTTGTATTCATTAGTAGAATACATCGCTCGCCGTGATTGGCCCAGCGTATACTGTATGTAGCCTCAGCTACTGTACATACCCACATCCAGCGGTCTGATTACCGTAGGGACGTACCGGTACGTTTTGAAACAGCTTGGCTCAGTATACTGTATAAACCACAGTGGTGTATACTCAGTATACTGTATGTACCGCACATCCAGCGGGCTAACAGATTAATCTGTCATAGGGGCATTTGTTTTGAGCCAGCTTGGCTCAGCGCGGTATACTGTATGTACATTACTGCACATCCAGCGGGCTGTATATATACTGTATACTGTATGTAGCCGAAGCTGCCATATTACCGCACATCCAGAGGTAACCATCTGATTTGGAATTTGATCCATATGATGACTGTCTTACAAATGTATCACAAGATGTCGTTCATGAACTTATGATGTCAGAGGATGAACATGAGGATTTTGAAGGATTTTAAGTACCGGTAAGTCATAACCATTTCAATTAAAAAATCTGATGTTTTTAAATGGTGTTGCCTCGGAAGGGGGGTAGTCTTATACGGTGAGTATAGCCCAAAACCTATGTTTTAACTGGAAAATTAGGGGGTCATCTTATACACCCAGTCACCTTATACGCCGGAAAATACGGTACATTTTTAAAATTTTTCTTCAGTCCTATAGACATAATCATAACACAGGGAATGTGATATTCACCAAAAACCTAGAACTGGGTAATTATTTCCTTTAATTATTATTTGCGAGGAATATTTGGTGAATTTTCACATTCACCGCTTTATACAGATGCCTCTATAGAGTTTTAAAAGCTGCGCTGAATGCAGTGTTTGATACAGAAGGAATTACATGTTAATGGAACTAATGGATACAAATATTTTAGGCTTCTAAGATAAAAGTCCAGTCCCTTTAAAAGATACACACTTTTTCTATTATTTAACAACGCATATTTTTTTCATTTTTATCAACAAAAGAACAGAAATTAAAGTCACAAATCTTTGAAAGAAAGTGTATAGCATGAATAGAGGCATAATGGTTCCTGCAGCGAATTAATAAATTCAGCTACTATAAAAGCATTTCATTATTTGTTTTTCAGACAACTTTACTCTCTTTATTATTTTTTTTGTTATTTGAATAATATTCATATGGTTATCATTTGTGAAACTATTCAGCTACAGTCTACAATGTTAATTTTCCTTCCGATAAAATTATTTTAATATGCATGCCATATATATATATATTTACAGTTCTTTATAAACAAAGTAAAGGAAGATTTCACAGGTTGTTTGGGAACCAAAAATGTAATTGACAAAATGGTAGAGCAGAGTTTTTTTTTAAAAAAAAAAAGAGAGATTATATTAGCTTTGAAGTTATGGCTTTGTCATTAAGGGGTCTATTCAATTTATGATACCTAGGAGACCTGCTCATTGGGGTGGCAATAGCACAATAGCTCAAGCAATCATTATGATAGCGTTCCATCATCTGCTTATGATTGGGCATTCAAAGTATTCAGGAATTAAATTTCACATGATTGGATAAATGAAGTGAATATTCACACATTGTTTTTAGTGATTATCAACTTCTTTAGTAAATCAGTCTCAGCATGTAAAATGACCCTAAATTAACGACTGAAACAGAAACCACTATTTTGAGGAAATACAAATGGGCAAAGAATAAACATACTAAAAAAAGGAGGTTGTGGTAAATGTTATAATGACAAAAGGTGGTCATTCTGCATCATCAAGTTCTCTTCCAAGCAGAAATGCTGCGGCAGAAACATAGAAAAGTGACGGCAGAAAAAAGACCAAGTGGTCTATTGAAACTGCCCTTTTCTTTTGTATCTAGGTGTTCTGTCCAAGCTCCTCTGCATAAGTACAAATAGGCAAGGCTGAGGACTGGCAACACAGCTTTCAGTTAGAGAAACTGAGTGCAGTAGATGAGAAATATTTGAACATACTTCCTTTAAGAAATATGAAATATCCACCATTGTTTTCATCTCAGAACTGACAGAAACCACTGGGACACTGATACAACCATTTACAGTCTGGGGAGGTGACTATCAGAATGTTTGTGACTAAAGAAATTCCACCGAGAAAGCCAAATGACCCAACTTCACATGAAAACACCAGGGGTAGAGTGAAGAAAATATCAGCAGGGGCTCTGGATTAATGAGTCACAATTTGAAATATTTGCATCCAGCAGGAGGTTGTACAGTCATCAAAAGTTTGGGGAGAAAAGTACATGCATGAATGTCTGCAGGCAAGAGTAAAGAATGGTGAAGGTTGTCTGCAGATTACAGGCTGCATTTCAGCAAAATAGATGGTGATTGTTCAAAACTGATGGCACCCTCACTGCTGAGAAGTACAAGTTGATTTTATATCCGTCAATAACGTAGGTATGCAATCGGTCACTGTTTCATTGTACAGAATAATAATGACCCCAAACACACAACTGGCTGATTATATCATCTAATGCAAGGTCAAGCAGAGAAAGTGAGTAGTGAAAGCATTCCTCTGCTGGCTCCTTGTAGACTGCTATAAACATGTAGACTGGACAAACATACAAGTGACCAAAAACCATGATAGTTACCCTGTAAGCAATTTTTCTTTACAATATGAACAGATGGTCTTTTGCAGCATAGATTGACAAATTTCCTGGCATGACAAATAGAATATAAAATTCTTGTTGTTCAGAAATCTCTCTCAAGAGAAAACATACACTTTATTCAAATGCTTTTCTTTTTTGTTTTTGATCATGACATAAATGTCTTTTTTTTATAATTGTAAATTTTTATTAAGGGCCAAAGCCCATTTTTTGAAGACAAAGACAACAACACTTTAGGTGTAAACATTGCATGAATAGAAAATCACAATAAATATAAAGAAGAACATAAACAAAAGAAACATGAACGTAAAATAATTAGACAACATGGTAAACTGTACAATGCATAAGCACAAAACGACATAAACCTGCACATTGTTGGGATACATTATTTGCTAGAGGCTTAGCAAGTAGAAAGGTGTCTGAGCTATATAAGGGGGGGGGGGGGAAGGAAGTCTACTAAAGGGAGAATGATCCCATGGTTCCCAAATAGATCGAAAATGACCTGAATAATCACCCA